AGCTTTTTTATAATTTTATACAAAATGGTTTGAAAATTTAGGAATTGCAATAGCTTTAGTAAAGCTTTTTTTTGCTTCTGAAAACTTTCCGAAAAAGCTTTTAAGAAAGAATTTTTGAAAAGCTTTTTATTAATATACTCCCCCAAAAATGTCTTCTCTGGTTTTACAAAAAGCATTTCTGCTGTTGCCAAAAAGCTTTTCTAAAAAAATTTCTTAAACTTTTTCGAAAAGCTTTACATATTTATGATCTTATTATCAAATATATTTTAAAAAGCGTTTTAATTTGCTTTAAACTAAACTTACTATTAAAAGCTTTACAAAATTTTATAGAAGTTTGAAAATTTTGGAAAGTTTATTTTTGGTTTAATAAGCTTCAAACAGCTTTTAAAAAGAGCTTTTCTGAAAAAGCTTTTATAAAGAGCTTTTCTGAAAACACTTTTACAAAGAGCTTTTCTGAAGAGGCTTTCACTAAAAACTTTTCTGAACTATCTTTTACATAAAGCTATTCCTAATAAGTTTTCCTGAAAAGGCTTTTCTTAAGCTTGAAATTTGTTTCAAAAAGCTTAATATTTTTAAGCTTTTACAGAGAGCTTTTCTGAAGAGGCTTTTACAAAAAACTTTTCTAAACAAAAAAGCTTTTTCAGTAAGCTTTTCATAAAAAGCTTTCCTGAAATTTTGCTTCAAAAAGCTACATATTTTTAAGCTCTTACTCAGAAAGCTATTAAGAATTATATCTTAAAGAAGTTTTCTAATTTAACTGAAGGCTTTTTTAAAACTTAAACCTTTTTCGAAATGCTTTATTATCAAATATATCTTAAGAAATCTTTTTAATTTGCTTCAACAAAGCTTTTTAGTTTTAAATTGAGCTAAATAGTTAAGCTTTTAAAAGGTAAAAAAGTTTGAAAATTTAGGAAAGTTTATTTTTTATTTAATAACTTAAATAAGCTTCAAAAAGCTTTTACAAATAGCTTTTCTGAAAAAGCTTTAACAAAGAGCTTTTGAAGAGGTTTTCAAAAAAAAACTTTTCTAAAGTTTATACTTTTTCAGAAAGCTTTACATATTTAGGCTCTTATTAGCAAATTTACATTAAAAAAGCTTTTTAATTTGCTTCAATAAAGCTTTTTAGCCTTATATTAAACTTACTAGTTAAAGCTTTTAAAAAGCTTTACAAATTGTTCTAAAAGTTTGAAAATTTAGGAAAGTTTATTTTTGGTTTAATAACTTTAATAAGCTTCAAAAAGCTTTTACAAAGAGCTTTTCTGATGAAGCTTTTTAGAAAATAAATTTTTCATTAGATAAAGCTTTAGCTTATATTTATTAAATTTATCCTTTTTCCCTTATATTATAATAAATCTTGTTTTCATTTAAAAAAGCTCTAAAAAGCTTTAAATTTAAACTTACAACTCTTTTCCTATTATAATGAAGTACATTGTATATTTTATAAAACCCTTTAGCTTTTAAAAGTTTTTGGCTTTATATCCAGCTATTTCAAAAGTTTTCAGATAAGCTTTACGTTTTATGCATCTTAAAAAGCTCAGTCGAATAAAGCTAGTTTGAGTAAAAAGGTATTTAGCTTTAACTAAGTTTCAGATTTTTTCCCCTTGAGCTTTTTAAAAAGTTTTCTATAATGAAGGTGTTGTAGGTAATTTTTTGAGCTTTCAAAAGTTTCCAGTTTTAAATAAAGTTTTTCTTCATAAGCTTCTTAAAATGCTTTTCATTTTAAGCTTTTAGAAAGTCATATTATAATGAAGTTTTTTTAGGGTTTTAAAGGACTTGAACTTTACAAAGGAATTTCGGTTTTAAGAGTTCATACTTTTAAAGTAACTAAAAAGCTTTCTCCTTAGCTTTTTGTTTTAAGCTTCTTCAAAAGCTTAGTATAATGAGGTTCGTTTTATATTATAAAAAGTTTATAAAACATTATTAAGCTCGATTTAGCTTATATAGATCTCTAGCTTAAATTTGTTTGAAGCTTTAAATTAAGCTTTTCCCTTTAGGATGATAACATCTACCTCAACATTTCACAAATCTTCTCATAAACTAAAATCTAACCAAAAAGTAGGAAAATAAATTCAAATCCCATTTCATAAGCTCAACTTACCCTCTGAACACTGTGTATAATCAGTGTACTCTTACTGGGTTGGCCATTTGTATTTAAGGCACCCTCCTGTAAGGCACGTACGGCAGCATCAGCCAAATTCGAACCATTCTTCATGTGTTCATTAATAGCTGGGGTACTTATATGCAAAGCTTCCTTAAGTTTATACGGTCTAGGACCGGCAGGTATTTCGGCGCCCTCAATAAACACAAAATCCACGGTAATGGAACCGTGAACGGGTTGTGTTTCATAGGGACGCGGTTGCAATGCAAGGACTTGAGTCGAGGCAGGACCCACAGCCAATTCATCGATGCCTACCAAACCTAGACCCAAAAACTTGGGTGGATCGGAAGGATCGGCGGGACGATCGTAGACTTCAAAGAGGATTTCAGCAGATTGGGGTGCCAAGTCGCTGTAAGGTTACCATATTAATTTTTAAAATATTTAATATATTAATTGCAAACTTACAATAAGAAATGTTCATCCCAATAGGGATTATTGCCCTGTCTGGCTCCGGTTTGATTCTTTTGTGCTGGCTCATCCATTTCGACCACCACAAAGGGATCTTTGGCATCTTTGAGTGCTTCACCTTTGACAATTTTCACCAACAAGCGTCGGCCCGAGATCATGGGCTGTAAACCTCCGCCCTGCTGCATGCCTAAGTCCATTTGATTCTGGGGAAATGTATAGTGTTTAGGAAATGTTAAGATTTTTCTCTATTTAGACAAAATGAGTTAGGATTTAAAACGTAAAAAGGGACCTGTTTCAAAAATGCAAATGAAAATTTTAGATTTGAAAATGTTATATGAAAATTACTTCGTTTTAAAAGTTTTTCATTTTCATATAAAATTTTTGGAAAACCTCATTTCCATTTGTGTAACAGGTTTAAACCTAAAAATAAGCCTTTGATTTCTGGTTTTTGTTTGCCGTTACTAATTTATTTAAAATTTGCACAAATGTACAATTTTACTAAATTTTTAATTAATAATTTTAAATATATGTTAAGATCGTTATTATGTTTTAATGAATTTATCGTTTAATTGATTTTAGTAATTGTAATAATATTGAAAAGGTCCCTGTAAAGGAAGAAAAAGAAGATAACCAGTTTAAACCAATATTTTGACACAGAGAAAAAATATTAGAATATTATAAAGGATTTTTTAATGATAGTTATCAAAGGCATATTTTTGAGTCTGAAAGAACACATTTAAAATGTCAACATTTAAGAATGAGATAAACTTAAATGTAGGAAGTTTGTAAGAGATTGTTTGGGGGTAGGGTTTAAGAACAGAGAGAAGTGTAGGGTGTGACAAATAAAACCAAATCCATGAAGTAATAGTTGTGGATTATGGGCCTTAGTTGGAATAATATATTATAGTCTTGACAGTAGACTAGATGCTGGATTATATACCAGATATATAGACTATAGTTTGCCCTATATATGCTATAGTCCGGACTATAGGCTAAAGTCTTGACTATAGCCTATAGTCTGACTTATAGATTATAGTCTGGAATATTGGCTAAAGTCTGGACTATAGATTATAGTCAGACTATAATCAAGACTATAGATTATAGTCAGGGCTATAGATTATAGTCAGGACTATAGACTAAAGTCAGGACTACAAACTATAGTCAGGACTATAGACTATAGTCAGGACTATGGACTATAGTCAGAACTACCGACAATAGTCAGGATTACCGACAATAGACTATAGTCAGGACTATGGATTATTGTCAGGACTATGGCCTACAGTCTAGTCTATAGTCTAGTCTATAGTCTAGTCTATAGTCTAGTCTATAGTCTAGTCTATAGTCTAGTCTATAGTCTAGTCTATAGTCTAGTCTATAGTCTAGTCTATAGTCTAGTCTATAGTCTAGTCTATAGTCTAGTCTATAGTCTAGTCTATAGTCTAGTCTATAGTCTAGTCTATAGTCTAGTCTATAGTCTAGTCTATAGTCTAGTCTATAGTCTAGTCTATAGTCTAGTCTATAGTCTAGTCTATAGTCTAGTCTATAGTCTAGTCTATAGTCTAGTCTATAGTCTAGTCTATAGTCTAGTCTATAGTCTAGTCTATAGTCTAGTCTATAGTCTAGTCTATAGTCTAGTCTATAGTCTAGTCTATAGTCTAGTCTATAGTCTAGTCTATAGTCTAGTCTATAGTCTAGTCTATAGTCTAGTCTATACTCTAGTCTATAGTCTAGTCTATAGTCTAGTCTATAGTCTAGTCTATAGTCTAGTCTATAGTCTAGTCTATAGTCTAGTCTATAGTCTAGTCTATAGTCTAGTCTATAGTCTAGTCTATAGTCTAGTCTATAGTCTAGTCTATAGTCTAGTCTATAGTCTAGTCTATAGTCTAGTCTATAGTCTAGTCTATAGTCTAGTCTATAGTCTAGTCTATAGTCTAGTCTATAGTCTAGTCTATAGTCTAGTCTATAGTCTAGTCTATAGTCTAGTCTACAGTCTAGTCTATAGTCTAGTCTATAGTCTAGTCTATAGTCTAGTCTATAGTCTAGTCTATAGTGTAGTCTATAGTCTAGTCTATAGTCTAGTCTATAGTCTAGTCTATAGTCTAGTCTATAGTCTAGTCTATAGCCTACTCTATAGTCTAGTCTATAGTCTAGTCTATAGCCTACTCTATAGTCTAGTCTATAGTCTAGTCTATAGCCTAGTCTATAGTCTAGTCTATAGTCTAGTCTATAGTCTAGTCTATAGTCTAGTCTATAGTCTAGTCTATAGTCTAGTCTATAGTCTAGTCTATAGTCTAGTCTATAGTCTAGTCTATAGTCTAGTCTATAGTCTAGTCTGTAGTCTAGTCTATAGCCTAGTCTATAGTCTAGTCTGTAGTCTAGTCTATAGCCTAGTCTATAGTCTAGTCTGTAGTCTAGTCTATAGTCCAGTCTATAGTCTAGCTATAGTCTAGTCTATAGTCTAGTCTATAGTCCTAGTCTATAGTCTAGTCTATAGTCTAGTCTATAGTCTAGTCTATAGTCTAGTCTATAGTCTAGTCTATAGTCTAGTCTATAGTCTAGTCTATAGTCTAGTCTATAGTCTAGTCTATAGTCTAGTCTATAGTCTAGTCTATAGTCTAGTCTATAGTCTAGTCTATAGTCTAGTCTATAGTCTAGTCTATAGTCTAGTCTATAGTCTAGTCTATAGTCTAGTCTATAGTCTAGTCTATAGTCTAGTCTATAGTCTAGTCCTATAGTAGTCTATAGTCTAGTCTATAGTCTAGTCTATAGTCTAGTCTATAGTCTAGTCTATAGTCTAGTCTATAGTCTAGTCTATAGTCTAGTCTATAGTCTAGTCTATAGTCTAGTCTATAGTCTAGTCTATAGTCTAGTCTATAGTCTAGTCTATAGTCTAGTCTATAGTCTAGTCTATAGTCTAGTCTATAGTCTAGTCTATAGTCTAGTCTATAGTCTAGTCTATAGTCTAGTCTATAGTCTAGTCTATAGTCTAGTCTATAGTCTAGTCTATAGTCTAGTCTATAGTCTAGTCTATAGTCTAGTCTATAGTCTAGTCTATAGTCTAGTCTATAGTCTAGTCTATAGTCTAGTCTATAGTCTAGTCTATAGTCTAGTCTATAGTCTAGTCTATAGTCTAGTCTATAGTCTAGTCTATAGTCTAGTCTATAGTCTAGTCTATCTAGTCTATAGTCTAGTCTATAGTCTAGTCTATAGTCTAGTCTATAGTCTAGTCTGTAGTCTAGTCTACAGTCTAGTCTACAGTCTAGTCTGTAGTCTAGTCTATAGTCTAGTCTATAGTCTAGTCTATAGTCTAGTCTATAGTCTAGTCTAGTCTATAGTCTAGTCTATAGTCTAGTCTATAGTCTAGCCTATAGTCTAGTCTATATTCTAGTTTATATGGTCTATAATCTAGTCTATGGTCTAGTCTTTAGTCTAGTGTATAGTCTAGTCTAGAGACTATGGACTATAGTGGTCTATAGACTTCTGTCTGGAATAGAATAAAATATAATCCCGAACTATGGACCACATCCCTTTAGTAATTCATATAACATAAAGATAAGTCCATAACACCAAAAATAACAGTAACAGGATTAAAAAAATTGTAAAGGAAATGAACAAAAAATTAAAAGAGAAAACATGACATGTCATGGTAATGTTTACTGACACATGTCTATATGTCATGTGTTATATTTTAAGCAAAATTCTCTTCTCAATGTTCTTACGCTCACCGCCATAGTATCATATGGAATGGGATAAATTACAGGCAAATCCATGGGTTCAATATCGGCACGAGGACAAGTGGTATACATAGAGAAATCTACAGGATAAATGGTATCACGTAAAGCTCTAGTTAAAATTTCCGAAACTTGGGCCTGGAATTGTTGTTCATCCTGATCCATGGGCTTAATAGCGCCCACACTGTTCATGGCTATGCGTATCTGAAAATAAAAACGTAGAATTTTTATAATTAATCGAATAAAATGATACCGTCTCAACTTACATCTGGAAAACCTTCTACTCTCATATCACCCTTTAAGGTATTGTAGTTCATGGCATTAGCTATGCGTGCTCGGAATCTAGAAACGGTTACCTTATAATGGGAAGTCTCAACTTTTCCTGATTTCTGTCGGAAGGTTTTAACTTGCAATACCGGCATGGCGTCACAATCGAAAGTAATAAGCTGTGTATAATAGAAGAGATTTTGGTTAACCGATTATATTAAATCGTTGTATAACTCACCATATCAGCTGGATTGGCTTCATCGGCATTACAGAAAATGTTACTTAAACCAGGTGGCGGACTGTCGGGTAATACACGTACGATTTCTACTGCAAGTCCCTGAAATTTGTAAGGTTATTTTATAAGTAAGCAGTGGTACATTTGAATAGAACTAGTTTTAAAATATTGTTAAAAATCTTATCCCTAGAAATATCTAAGACGACTAACAGTCAGGAAAATATCTTTTAAACGAACATATTTAAAAAATCGAGAACGACTATATTATATATGTAGATTAAACTATAGACAAGAATATAGACACTTTGGATAATAGATAAAAGCATAGATCTGGACTACAGAATAGACTGTAGTCTGGACAAAACTCAATGGTCTAGACTATAGATAAGACTACAGTCTAGACTATAGAAAAGACTACAGTCTAGATTATAGACTAGACTTGAGTCTGGACTATAAACTAGACTATAGTCTGGACTATAGACAAGACTACAGTCTAGACTATAGACAAGACTACAGTCTGGATTATAGACTAGACTTGAGTCTGGATTATAGACTAGACTATGGCCTAGACTATAGTCTGGACTATACCCTAGACTATAGTGTGGACTAGACTATAGTCTAGACTATATAAAAGACTATAGTCTCGACCACAGACTAGACTACCGTCTGGAATATAGACTAGACTATAGTCTGGACTATAGACTAGACTATAGTCTGGACTATAGACTAGACTATAGTCTGGACTATACACTAGACTATAGTCTGGACTATAGACTAGACTATAGTCTGGACTATAGATTAGATTATAGTCTGGACTATATACTGAACTATAGTCTGGACTATGGACTAGACTATAGTCTGGACTATAGACTAGACTATAGTCTGGACTATATACTGAATTATAGTCTGGACTATAGACTAGACTATAGTCTGGACTATAGACTAGACTATAGTCTGGACTATAAACTAGACTATAGTCTGGACTATAGACAAGACTACAGTTTAGACTATAGACAAGACTGCACTCTGGATTATAGACTAGACTTGAGTCTGGACTATAGACTAGACTATGGCCTAGACTATAGTCTGGACTATACCCTAGGCTATAGTGTGGACTTTAGACTAGACTATAGTCTGGACTATATAAAAGACTATAGTCTCGACCACAGACTAGACCACCGTCTGGAATATAGACTAGACTATATCTGGACTATACACTAGACTATAGTCTGCACTATAGACTAGACTATAGTCTGGACTATATACTGAATTATAGTCTGGACTATAGACTAGACTATAGACTAGACTATAGTCTGTTCTATAGACTTGACTATAGTCTGTACTATAGACTAGACTATAGTCTGGACTATAGACTAGACTATAGTCTGGACTATAGACTAGACTATAGTCTGGACTATAGACTAGACTATAGTCTGGACTATAGATTAGACTATATTCTGGACATTAGACAAGACTATAATGTGGACTTTAGACAAGACTAGAGTCTAGACTATAGACAAGACTACAGTCTGGATTATAGACTAGACTTAAGTCTGGACTATAGACTAGACTATGGCCTAGACTATAGTCTGGACTATACACTAGACTATAGTGTGGACTTTAGACTAGACTATAGTCTGGACTATATAAAAGACTATAGTCTCGACCACAGACTAGACTACCGTCTGGACTATAGACTAGACTATAGTCTGGACTATAGACTAGACTACAGTCTGGACTATAGACTAGACTATAGTCTGGACTATAGACTAGACTATAGTCTGAACTATAGACAAGACTATATTCTGGACTATAGACAAGACTATAGTCTGGACTATAGACAAGACTATAGTCTGGACTATAGACAAGACTATAGTCTGGACTATAGACAAGACTATAGTCTGGACTATAGACAAGACTATAGTCTGGACTATAGAATAGACTGTAGTCTGGACTATAGACATGACTACAGACTAGACTAAGAGGCAAGTTTTATTTTCTAATTATTCCAGCTGAAACAGAAGTGCTCCAGAAACTTTATCTCAGCCCTGTTGATAACTTTTTCCTTGAACATGAGTTATTTTATGAGAAACAACAATAACAACAGAATATTATCAAGACCCATATAAAAATAAACACTTAAAAATCAAGTATTCACTGGATTACTAATAAATTTTTCGCTTTTTTTTCGTATACATATATTCATTTCAATTTCAATACTAAGGTCAAGGTCTTAATTTAAACAAAAATCTTTTTTTTTTTTTGGTTCTTGGTGTTTTGTGTTTTTTTTTTAACACATACAATGAGATGGACGGACAACATAAAAAAAAAGACGAACCCCAGTATTTTTATTTTGCGGTATAGTGGTAGCATGTCTGATGGCGATAAACATATAGAGTGAACTCGTTCTTTAGAGTTTGTTTTTAAGACGGAGTCTACCGCAAAAAGCTTACGTAATTATTTTAAAGTATTCCAAAAATAAATGTGTTGTAGTTGTGGCTATGAATCAGTAAATATTTTTTTGTTTTATTTTATTATTATTTATAATAAACATAAACAATATACAGAATGAGAAATCGATTTGCTCGAGTTACATAGGTAACTAATGTCCGTGTTTTGAGATTTTTAAAAATTGAAACAATTCTGGATTACAACAATTGTGTGGCTTTAGTCACATTATTTAACTACAAATGTGGCAAAAACTTCGGTATGCTGCTCAGCAAACCATCTGTGACTTCATACTTCATAAATTTTTATTATAAAAAAAATTTAAAAAAAAAAATCAAATACTGATAAACTAATTACCTTTAGTTATTTTTAATAATACTGGGGATTTACCTAGTAGCCATGTCGAGTCTAAAATAACTAATTTTTGCGGTATGTTCATGCTACAAATAATTTGTTTTTGGTTAAAAAACAACAAACAAAATGTTTAGTACATAACTACATATAATTTAATAATATATTTTGACCTAGATTTGATGCACTTTAATTTTAATAAAATTCAAATTAAGTTTTTACTTGTTTTAAATAAATTTTAAAAAGTGTCGCAAAAAAACAAACTACATAATTATAGTTTGTTAACAAAATTAAAATATACTATAGCCTGGCCAATAGACAAGAATATAGAATGGTCTATAGTTCAGACTATGGACTATAGATATAAAGTTAAGACTATAGACAAGTCTATAGACAATACTAAAGTCTGTAGCTGGACTATAGACAAGACTAAAGTCTGGACTACAAACTAGACTGTCTAGTCTAGAGTCAATAGACAAGACTATAGGCAAAACTATAGACAAGACAGATCTTTGGACAAGACTATAGACTGGACTATAGACAAGTCTATAGACTGGTCAATAGAAAAGACTATAGACTGGTCTATAGACAAGATTATAGACTGGTGTATAGACACGAATTAGACTGGTCAATAGACAAGACTATAGACTGTTCAATAGACAAGACTATATACTAGTCAATAGACAAGACTATATACTAGTCAATGGACAAGACTATACATTGGTCAATAGACAAGACTATAGACTGATCTATAGTCAAAACTATAGACTGGTCTATAGACAAGCCTATAGACTGATCTATAGACAAGACTATGGACTGGTCTATAGACAAGAGTATATACTGGTCAACAGGCAAGACTATAGACTGGTCAATAGACAAGACTATAGGCAAAACTATAGACAAAACTGATCTATGGACAAGACTATAGATTGGACTATAGAAAATACTATTGACTGGACTATAGACAAGACTATATACTGGTCAATAGACAAGACTATACACTGGTCAATAGACAAGACTATACACTGGTCTATAGACAAGACTATAGACTGGTCTATAGACAAGACTATAGACTGGTCAATAGACAAGACTATACACTGGTCTATAGACAAGACTATACTCTGGTCTATAGACAATACTATATACTGATCTATAGACTGATATATGTATAAACAAGACTATAGACTGGTCTATAGACAATACTATAGACAGTACTATAGACAATACTATATACAAGACTATAGACTGGTCTATAGACAAGAGTATAGACTGGTCTATAGACAAGACTATAGACTGGTCAACAAAAAAGACTATAGACTGGTCAATAGACAAGACTATAGACAAAACTATAGGCAAGACTGATATATGGGCAAGATTATAGACTGGACTATAGACAGGACTGTAGACTGGACTATAGACAAGACTATAGACTGGTCTATAGACAAGAATATATACTGATCTATAGACTGGTATATAAACAAGACTATAGACTGGTGTATATACAATGCTATTGACAAGACTATATACAAGACTATAGACTGGTCTATAGACCAGACTATAGACTTGTCAATAGACAGGACTATAGACTGGTCAATAGACAAGACTATAGACATGTCAACAGTATATAGACAAGACTATAGACTGGTCTATAGACAAGACTATAGACTGGTCTATAGACAAGACTATAGACTGGTCTATAGACAAGACTATAGACTGGTCTATAGACAAGACTATAGACTGGTCAATAGACAAGACTATACACTGGTCTATAGACAAGACTATACTCTGGTCTATAGACAATACTATATACTGATCTATAGACTGATATATAAACAAGACTATAGACAATACTATAGACAAGAATATAGACAGTACTATAGACAATACTATATACAAAACTATAGACTGGTCTATTGAAAAGACTATAGATTGGTCTATAGAAAAAATTTCAGACTGGTCTATAGACAAGGCTATAGACTGGTCTATAGACAAGACTATAGACTGGTCTATAGACAAGACTATAGACTGATCTATAGACAAGACTATAGACAGGTCTATAGACAAGACTATAGACTGGTCTATAGGCAAGACTATAGACTGGTCTATAGACAAGACTATAGACTGATCTATAGACAAGACTATAGACTTGTCTATAGACAAGTCTATAGACTGTTATATAGTCAAGACTATAGACTGTTATATAGTCAAGACTATAGACTGTTATATAGTCAAGACTATAGACTGTTATATAGTCAAGACTATAGACTGTTATATAGTCAAGACTATAGACTGGTCTATAGACG